CAACCCGATCCATATATAATATTGTTGCGGCGTGCAACCCGATCCATATATAATATTTACAATTATAACGAGAGTCCCGACAAGGGATCAATAAGGTCCACACTATCCCGACAAGGGATTCGATAGCATGAGCAATTACGTCCCGGCAAGGAGAAACATCTATAACCACACTTGTCCCAACATCTAATTACCGCAGCTATAACCGATCCTGTTACAACATCTAACTGCCACAACTATAATCAATCCTTTTACAACATCTAACTACCACAACTATGATCAATCCTGTTACGACATCTAACTACCACAACTATAATCAAACTTGTTACTACACCTAACCACCTCAGCTATAACCAAACCTATTACAACACCTAACTACCTCAGCTATAACTTTAGTCCTTACTCAACACAAGGAATCATTAAACGAAGCATCCGTAATATCAATTAAGAACACAATACAAGGGAACCATAACTCGACAATAGCCCGCCAAGGGACAGCATAATGATCTTTTCTCTTCTCACTTTTACTTCACAATTCATTTCACAACTCGAGCCAATGCTCTAGAGGTTCAATTATCACTTATACTTTCGCAATGCGTTCTACGACTGGAGCCAACGCTCCTCAATAATCATAAGTCACTATTCTTTTCACAACTTTATACAACAAATAGAAATACTCACCAAGGCATGAATAATACGAGGAAGTCATGAAATTCACAATATAAGACTCACGGTCATGCTTGACACCAACGTATAGATACTCGTCACCATGCCTATACGTCGTACTCCACAAGAAACACATAACAAATATGACACAACTCCTAATCCCTCAAGCTAAGGTTAAACCAAACACTTACCTCGATGCTTTGAATTCAACTCAAGTCTCAATTAGCTTTACTCCTCGATTCCACCACCAATCTGCTCGAATCTAGTCACAAGTTACTTAATTACATCAATAAACGCTAAATGAATCAGTTTGAATGCATAAAAATGAATTTTCCAAAGTTTTGCCCAAAAATTCCAAAATCGCCCCCTGGCCCACGTGGTCAAAACCCGAGGTTCTAACCAAAACACGATTACCCATTCTCCCACGAACTCAAATATATGATTTGTTTTGAAATCGGACCTCAAATCGAGGTCCAAATCCCCAATTTTAGAAAAACCTAGGTTCTACCAAAAACCCCCAATTTCACCCATGAAAATCCTTGATTTTAAGTGGAAACATGTTAAATGATGTCAATGAATGAAAGAACAGAGTAAAAGTTGACTTACAAATGATTTGGAATGAAACTTGTTCTTGAAAAATCGCCTAAGGAGTTGTATTTTGAAAGTGGGGTGAAAAATGGCCTAAAATTCGACTAAGTATGGAAAAATGCAGGCTGCTGATATGGGAATTGCGAACTGGGGTTCGCAATTGCGAACCCCTACCAATTATGGGAATTGCGAACAATAGTTCGCATTTGCGAACTCAGACCCAACTGGAAGTCTTCGCATTTGCGACAATTCCATCGCTTTTGCGAAAACTCAATCTTCGCATTTGCGAAGTAATGCTTCGCATTTGCGAGCCAAGGCAGGCCTGGGCTGGTTTCGCATTTGCGATCCAGTCTTCGCATTTGCGAACATGGCTTCGCAAATGCGAAGCCTGCAAGCCTGTTCATACCAGATTTTCCAAAATTCAAAAATGCAATCCGACACCTATCCAAAACTAACCCGAGCCCTCGGGGCTCCAAACCAAATATGCGCACAACCTCAAAAATATCCTACGGACTTATCTGTGCGATCAAATCGCCAAAATAACATCATATACATCGAATTAAGCCTCAAATTTCATGATTCCTTCCAAATTTTCATAAAACATCAAATTTCCATTTTAAGTCCAAAACACGTCAAACGACGTCCGTTTTCAACCAAACTTTACAGGAAGCGCTTATATCATATATAAGACTTGTACCGGGCGCCGGAACCAAAATACGGGCCCGATACCATAGTCTTCTAATCAAATTTCATTTCCAATTTCCTCAAATATTTCCAGAAAACAATTTCACACAAAAATTCATTTCTCGGGCTTGGGACCTCGGAATTCGATTTCGGGCATACGCCCAAGTCCCATATTTTCCTACGGACCCCCCGGGACCGTCGAATCACGGGTCCGGGTCCGTTTACCCAAAATGTTGACCGAAGTCGAATTTATTCATTTTAATATCAAATTTTTGCATTTTTCTCATAGAATTCATATTAAGCTTTCCGGCTACGCGCTCGGACTGCGCACGCAAATCGAGGCAACCCTAAATGAGGTTTTCAAGGCCTCGGAAGCATGAAATGGGTAAGGAAACAGGTGATGACCCTTTGGGTCGTCACATTCTCCACCTCTAAAACAACCGTTCGTCCTCGAACGGACAAAAGAAAGAAGTATCTGAGTCGGGAAAAAGATGAGGATAGTGACTCCGCATATCAGACTCGGACTCCCAGGTCGATGCCTCAGGAGGCTGACCTCTCCACTGAACGCGAACAGAAGGAAAACTCTTGGATCTCAACTGACGAACCTGCCGGTCCAAAATAGCCACCGGCTCCTCCTCGTAAGACAAGTCCTTGTCCAACTGGACAGTGGTGAAATCTAACACGTGGGCTGGATCGCCGTGATGCCTCCGAAGCATGGATACATGAAAAACTGGATGCACGGCCGATAAGCTAGGTGGCAATGCAAGTCTATAAGCCACCTCTCCCACTCGATCAAGAATCTCAAACGGACCAATGAACCTAGGGCTAAGCTTGCTCTTCTTCCCAAATCTCATCACGCCCTTCATAGGCGACACTCGGAGCAATACCCGCTCACCAACCATAAATGCCACATCTCGAACCTTGCGGTCTGCATAACTCTTTTGCCTAGACTGAGCTGAACGAAGCCTATCCTGAATGATCTTGACCTTGTCCAAGGCCTCCTGAACCAAATTTGTACCCAACAACCGAGCCTCTTCCGGATCAAACCATCCAACCGGAGACCGACACCGCCTACCATATAAAGCCTCATAAGGAGCCATCTGGATGCTCGACTGGTAGCTGTTGCTGTAGGCAAACTCCGCTAAAGGCAAGATCTGATCCCACGAACCTCCAAAGTCAATAACACAAGCTCAAAGCATGTCCTCTAGAATCTGAATAGTTCGCTC